GGATGCATTTCCAGTCAGGGGTGGTATATGCAGCAAGCACAGGCTCAGGGATGCCAGACCTTGTCCCAGCTCTTTACAGCTGGCTGGAGACCTTGGACAAGTCACCAGAGGTCTCCAGGCCTCAGATGGTTCATCTGCAAAATGAAGGATTGGGCTGCTGAGTCTCCTACTCCCTTGAGTTCTAAGATTCAAGGGCTGCAGCTGGGAGGAGCTGGTGATTCCCATACCCTCACTAAGTGTTGTGCCAAGTGTCACTGCCATTTTACAAACTTAAAAGTTGTAACTTGGTGGTAAGTCATTTTAATGACGTGCAGGGTTGAAAAGAGCAGAACCAGTGCTGGGGCCTGACCTTCAGGACTGTGGTTTTTGGTATCTAAGCAAGAGCCTCGTCTGGTTGTTAGTGTAGAAAGAGCAAAGGGATGCTGCACAGACTAGATCTCCTTTAACCTGCTCCAACCCGGGGGAACAAATGCCAGGGTTTCTAGCCCCTGGTCAGTCAGGGAGGTCAGTAACTGGCTACTGGGCAAAGCCAGGATTCGAACCTAGCTTTGCCCTCCCCTTCCAGGTTCAGAGTTGCCTCCTGATGGACAGGTCCTCACTGCCATCGGGACACCCAGGCCCCATGGTGATCTCCAACACCCACCCTGAGCCTCAGGTAGCCCCCACACTCCCTTGCAGCTGCACACTATGGTGTCTGATGTCCCAGCTGTGTCAGCATCTATTAATCACGCCACCTCTCCCCCAACCGAGAGGGACCGCTTCTCCTTTTCCTTCCGCAAACCACCTAACTGAAATGGCAGGAATTTATCACAGGGCTTAACACATGGCTGAACCATGGGGAAGCTGAGCCTGCTGCCTTCAAACAAAATCAGGAACCCCAGAAGTCTGAGGTCCAGACAGTCAATTCTGAGAGAAAATGGCTGGGACATGCAACAACCTGGGTGTCACCGAGCCCACCGCCTCACCACACCCCGCCACATAGGACCCTTTGCCCCATGAGCTGCCCTGGCACAGAAGTGAGGGGCCTCTGCTGCTGAGCACTACTCAAAAGCCTGGCAATGGAGACACCCCAATACCTCAGCACGAAGAGCCTGTGCCTCAGGTGTCAAGGTCTTCCCCAATCTAAGGCGGATTATAAAGGCAACAACTAACATGGTCCTAGAAGAACAGGCTCTGGCATAAATGCCCCATGTAGGCCTGGGTCCAACCACTTTCTGACATAGCAGGCAGCTGAGTGGGAGCTTGGCTATAGCCCAGACCTGGCACTAGGGCCAGGCTGGAAACAGGCAGTCGATATTCCACGTCCCAAGGAAAGCCCCAAACATCTGGGGGCAGGCTCACATACTCCACACAAAGGACATCCTAAGAGTCATTAGCAGAACCAGTCCTACTACCAGTCCTAGCCACCTCCCTGCCTTCTCTCCTGTGGAGAAGGTGAAGGGACATGAGGAAAAGAGTTAGCAGCTTGTCAGCAGGAGAGTGGAGTTCATGGTGGGACATGATGGGCCTCCACCCTGGTCTGTGAGGAGAAAGCTCCTTAGGAACTCAGGGAAATGAGAAAGAAAGGGGCCCTAGCCCCCCACTTCCCAGGTGCTCACTGAGCTGGGAACATACAGGCCTAAAAGGTGTAGACCCCACAGCAAAGGGAGTTGTAGAAGGGGAGTCCTGGCCAAGACCAGCCTGTGTCTTGGGGGTCTGAGAAATTTGGAGGATGGGGTCTGCTGTCCCCTGGGATCCTGTAGGGGGCAAGGCAGAGTGCAGAGTGAGAAGAAGCAGGTGAGAGGTGGTGGTTGGGCACCAACCTGGGTGCTCCGGTGAAGGGGAACGGGGAGAGGAGATGAGCAGAGGGAGCCAGGATGAAGCTGACCCCACCATGTAGACATGGCAGAGTCGCACACAGAGGCAAAGGCAGAGCGAGACAGGGAGGTGACCAGGCAGACAGTCACATGAGACAACCCTGCCCCCAACCTCCTGGGCCAAGCCCAGAAGAGTCAGATTCCCAAGATGGAGGGGGAGAGGCTGACAGCGCAGGACACACCCTTCCAGCCCAAACCCGGGACTCTAAGCCTGGCCTGCCCTGGAGAGGAATGGACAGGTTGACACTGCATGTAAAGCTTTCACCACTGGGCATGGTAGTGGTCATGGCTGAGTAGAAAGTGACTTAACTGAGTTTTATAACAATGAAGTGGGGAAAACAGTCAATCAAATTGAGTCTCCTCAGTACTGGATTACATGAAGAGGGGAGGCTCCGGCCAGGCCAGAGCTACTCACAGTTGTGCAGTAGGTGCTGGGGCGGGGGTGGTGGGGAGAAGCAGGGAGGGGGCCACAGAAGGGCAGGAGGGACAAGACTACAACTCCAGTGGCCAGGACTGGAGCCCTCAGTGAAGTGCCACATAGGCCACAGGGCACTTTCCACTGCCCTTTCCTCTTTGCCACCCAACCTCCTAACCTGGGAGCTGGTGCAAACCCACCACCTCCTCTCTGAGGCTGGTGAGTCCCCTGAAGTCTCCTAACGTTCAAATATATGCTCCCCTAAGTCCCTTGTGTTATTACTTAACGTATGTGCAAACTCTGTCTACCCAGCTGGAGGCTAAGCTCCTAGAGAACAGGTGCTAACATTTAGAAAAGGGTATGTTTTCCCTTGTAGGTTTCAAAGATTGTAGCCAAAAGTTAAGTCTTACACTCAGATGTCACAGAGGGGGTGTAATCCTCAGCTCCACCAAGCACGGACCTTGAGTGAGCCATTTAATCTCTGAGCCACCTCTGTAAAATGGTGCCACTACCAGTACTTTCTCTGGAGGGTTGTTGGAAAGAATAACTGAGACAAATCACCTAAAACTGCACCTAGCACATATTAAGTACACACTTCTGCTATTCCCTTCCCTCCAAAATCTGATTTACTGGCAGCCATTCTTAAAGCCCGCCTGGTGACGCCTGTGGTTGAAAACTGTGTAAGGGAAGGGGTGTGGAGGAGAGCAGTGTCTGAGCTGGGAGTCTCCTACTCAGAAAGATCTGTGCGTTTGTCAGCAAGTCAAGGAAGGACTTTGTTCTGCCACGCTCTGTGGTGTCAGTCCTGAGGGGCCAGCTTCCCTGTCAGTCACTCCAGAGACAGAAAAGAATAAAGACCTGGAGATATAAAGGCTTGGGGCCTTTCTGCTTGACTGGTTTTGTCAAACTGGTCACTCTTTTCCTCACTCAGCATTTACTTGCCAACCAGCAGATGGTGCAGAAAATGTGCAGTCCTGCCCCTAATGCCAGCTCCAAGTGGAGAATTTGCATGTGATTATCAGACAGCAATGGCGCTGCCCTACATTTCTCTCTCTCTCTCGCTCTCTCTCAAAAAGGGACAAGAATGAAGATCTCAAGGTGTGCTGTGACCACAGTCATAGCTCTTGAAATATTTTTGCTACCTTCCTGGAAGCACCCCTTTCAATCCAGTTTAAATAACTAGAGTCTGCAATGTCTCAGACTGTCGAAAGTGGTTTTCAGGTTTAGAAGCAGCATTTGGAGATCACGTACATTAGTGGGGACTGGAAAACAGGCGGATGCACTGGTTTTCTATGAAGGCTTTGAGTATACCTTTTGATAAGTTTGTTATCGTTACTAAACGGTACATAGGCTATTTTTTAGCCAAAAGTTATTTCCTCCAAATTTTCAGTCAGGGGCTCCCCCTACACAGGGCAATCCTTGTTCTACCTTTTCTTTTCTTTCCTTAACCAAAGACATTTTCTTTTGAGAAACATGGACACAGATAAAAGGAATGGCATGCCTGCCTACACTCAGCCTGGGCTCATGAGAAGCCTTGGGGATTACCCTCATCATGACACACTGGTGCCTGAGCAGAGAGAAAGGGACATTTTAGAGTTTGGAAAGCTGACAGGAATCAGAAATGAGGAAGGGCATGGTATTGTGTTATTAAGCCTTTATATATAAAAAAAAAAAAACTTCACACAGTATTTGCAAAGTACTTGACAATTACTGCACTTTCATTAAGTCAGCGGTCACAGCAGCCAAGCCCAGCTGAATGTTCTCCCATTAACTTATTAACAACACGCCTCATAAAGTGACTCGAGTGCGCCAGTAAAAGAGCCTCAGTAAACTTTTACAGCTTTTTCTTGGGGTCTCAGAAGACTTCAGACAACAAAGCCTGACCTGCAGCAGCAGCTCGGGAGCAGGGTGTTACCCCAGACTGCTGTTTAGCAACCCTGTGGAATGAGTTAGTAAGTTGTAGTTCAGTGGGGTTCCTGGGCTGGAAGTTCCAAATGTCTCATACAAACCAGGACAGTCCCTCCCTGCCCCACTCAAAAAAAAAAAAAAAAAATTTTTTTTTTAGAAAGCCAGTGTCAGGGCCTCCCTGATGGCACAAGGGGTTAAGCACAGCGCTATGAAGCAATATGCAGCCTCTGCAGCACGAGTTCGATCCCTGACCATCCAGTCAGCAACCCACATGGGAAGCAGACCTCTCCAGTCTCGCCTGCTGCTCCCCTCAGCAGTGTACTTCGGTCAATCTGCCTGTTCTGCTCCCCACTGTGCCTCTGGCGAATCCTCTCTCTCCCCGCGTCTCTGGCCTGGACCCCAGCTCTTGTACGCATAAATAAATAAATCTCTAAAAAGAATAAAAATAAAAAGCCAGTGTCCATTCAAAGCCAAAAGCCAACTGCAGATGACCTTTCGGGACACGGGGTGAGGTGCCTTTCGATGAGGGGACAGAGGAAAATCGAGTTCAAGTCTCCCTGGAGGGCACCCCTCGGTGCCAGTTCTGAGCTGGGTGTGCACAAAGATGCCGCTGCGCCCAGGACCCACGGATTGGCGACTGGATGCTGAGCTAAGTAAGGGCGGAGGCTGGTGAGTGGGGGCTCGCCCGCTGTCCTCTTCCCTGGCCTCTTTGGGGAAGGGGAGTCAGATACTGTTCCCCGAGAGCCCAGATCCGCCTGCCCTCGCTCTCGCTCTCGGCCCCGTGGCTCCGCCACCAGCGCCAGGTGAGCGTCCCCGCGACTCACCTGCGTGAAGTACAAGTTCATGAGCGTGAGGGTGAAGAACTGCAGGCACACCGGGAAGCAGTAGAGCAGCCAGAAGACGAAGGGGGTGAGCGCATTGGCCGCCACGAAGTCTTTGAAGTAGAAGGAGAATAGGATGGTCCGCAGGGAGGCCCAGAACAGACAGAGGAAGAGGAAGACGCTCTGGTAGCTGAGCCGCTTGTGGCGGTAGCGCAGCACCAGCCAGAGCTGCACGTAGATGAACACGAAGAGCAGCGAGTAGAAGACGGTGTAGACGATGGTCAGGCCGAGCTTCACGTAGGGGGGCACGGCCGGGGTCAGCGTGGGCTGCAGCGTGTCGTTGCCAGGAGGGTCCCACGGCAGGGCCGCCATCGGACCGGGGGCGCTGCGGCGCTGCCGGGGGCGCTCGGGCTTCATCGGGGCCGGCGCCCGCCGCCGCTCCCCACGCGGGGGTCTCCGGGCATCGCGCTCCTCCCGGAGCCGGGCGACTGGAGGAAAGAAAACAAGCAGCACTTCCTCCCCCGGCACCACATGATTCACTGGGGCGGCCTTTGTCTGCGATTGGCCGCGCCGAACCCGCCGCCCCCGCGCGCCCGCCGGCCCCGCGCGCCCCCGCCCCGCACGGTGCGCCCCCGACGCCCCCCCGCCGGCGCCGCGCTGCCGGCCCCCCAGCCCCGCGCACGCCCGCCCCGCACGGCGCTCCCCCGCCCCGCCCCGCCCCGCCCCTCCCCGCCCGGGACACCGCCCCGCGCCCCACGCCCACCCGCGGGCGCACCGCCCCCCGCGCTGCGCCCTGCGCGCCGCCGCCCTGCGCCTTAGCCGAAGCCCCCTGGACCTCCCGCCCAGGTGCCCCACCTGCGGCCGCTCCGAAACTGTGCCCAGGGCGCTTTGTGCAAAAGTTAAATCTTTTCTTTCAAAAACAACTGCTGGAAGTCCTTTAATAGTGAAATTGGACGGCTCCGGCCGTGAGCTGGCTGGCGTTTTCCCCTTGGAAATGTATTGCTGAGTGATGTCTATTTCTGAACCACAAAGGCCAGGTTTGCGATTTTGAGGTCAAGCTTGGGTACTCAGGGTCGCGCTGCATGTGGATGCTGCCTCATCTTGGTTGCAGAGTTCCTTGCAGTGCGTCCCGCATCGCGATTCCGGAGAGGATGCTGCGCCCTCCCTTTGCAGCAAAGCGGCTGGTGCCACGAACGCTAGGGGCGGGCTGGCGATGTAGCCCGGGGGACTTCAGAGTGATGTGCCTCACATTTACGGGACATCCCAACTGTGACAGGGTGATCCCAGGCAAAGGAGAAGCCCCAGGTTTCCTACTCATCCAAGGGAGGGTGGAGCTGAGCGGAGAAAAGCTGGAGAGGAGACTGGAGAAGGAAGGAAGAGGATTGGGTGCTAGGAGACCTGGAGGAGGCACATGGAACAGAGGACGTGAAAAAAATGGCACTTGCTTCTTTGTCCTGGACCATTGAAATAGATGTGGGTGGGAGACGGGGGGAGGTTAACAATGGCAGCTTTTATGTTGGTTTTGATTTTGCTCTTTTCCTCCCAGACTTGTCTATGCCTGCTTATGACACTTTTCTATGGGTCTCCTCCGGAGGGTGCTTTAGAGTTGTGGCAGGCTTTCGTGCCTCTGTGGCCCTGCTTTGGGTTAACCCTGTTTGGCTGGACATTTACCCATGAGGGAATGGGCAACTTTGGATGCTTGATTTCAAAACTTTATTCTTCCCTTTTCTGTATTACACTAATTGTATTAAAATTCCTTTCCACTGAAAGTGTTATGGACTAGAGTATGTTTTGTCTTGATGCGGCTGATGGCAAAACCTATTTAGAGTGGGCCGGTGTGGGGGTTCTGGGTTGCCTCTCACCCTGACCAGTAACAACCAGTAGGTTGAGCAGTCACCCAGATCAACAAACCCCCTGTTGCTATGACTGGGTGGGTCCCTCAGCAGGCGTTTATGCCTCTCTGGCATTACTCCAGAGGTGACAGCACTTGTAAGTGCTCTGGGCACAGATGAGGTGCTAAGCTGCCATCTGAAAGCATTTCTTGGCGAGCAATTGGGTTAAGAGAAGAAAGGGCTATGAATCGCCAAGGCTCCAGGAATTTCTTGTGATTTCTTTACCACCTTATATTAATAATCTACTCCATGCCTAATTGTGAGGGTGTTTTTCCTAAAGAAAAGGGTCCCATGGATCCTAGATCCAACCCTGCTTTTCCTCCTAATTAATATTTACACACTCCCAATATATTACAGATGCTTCATCAAGGCCAAGTGTATATTTGTGTCAAACGCCTTTCCAGTTCCTCTATTCTTTTTCCCTCTCTCCCTGTCACTATTGGAAGTAAAAATATGGAATTTCTTTTCTGATCTTGTTCCCATCAATCCATTCTGCCCAGAGTAACTGGAATGGTCTAAGAATAAACCTGGCCATGTCACTCCTTTGCCCCTCTCTGTTCTGAGGACAAAGTCCAGACTCCTACTCTAGCTTACCTCCCTGACCTGTCCACTCAAGAGGTGTTAATGCGTGTTAAACCTCCTGGGTCAACAAAATTATTTCTATCTCTTCCTTCTACAACTGGTCAAATCCTATTCATCTGTAAAGGGGTTAGTGCCTCTAGAAAATCTTCCCAGATCACTCCACCCACCATCTACTGGGAATTAGACTAAGGTGCACCATGCATGTACTTACAGAACATGCTTGCATAATTGTCAGTCACTATGCTCCCCCCCAACAACTTTTTTTATAAGTTTCCTTAGGAAACAGATATGTCTTGTTTCTCAAAACCTTCCCCAGGCTTGCCTGGCACATTAACAAAAAAGACCTGTTCCTATTTCACTTTACTGAAAGAATATGGTTTGTTAGTCAGAGACCCAGACTCTGATATTCTCCTCTACTATGAAAGTCTCTATTCCCAAGACTGCCTTAGACTCCAAGATGGCTGCCAGCTCTCCAACCATTGTGTCCACCTCTGAGCCTGGCTTTAAGAGGAACATGGGAGGACTCCAGGTCTCTTGTCCTCTCCTGGTTATCGAGCCTTTCCAGAAATACCGCACAATGAATCCACTTTCACCTCATTGGCAGAATTTAGTTATCTTACTAAGACCAAAATGTGGCGTGGAGCCAGAGTTAACATAATTCTGAAGCAAGATGGGAAGTCATCCTTGCCAGAGTAAACAAAACAGCTTTTGGAGTTCTTTGCTTATTGGGAAGGGGGACAGGGGAAGCATTTTCCTCTAGGGGCTGTATGGGTTTGCTGCATTGAAGTCAGCCGTTTAGTAAGCTTATGATAAAGATTTGTCACTCTCTAAGGCCATCTTCCACATAAAATGAACAGGTAGATGGGATGTTGTAAGAATTTGCAGCTTCTGTTCATTTAAGTTCAGGTCTAAGCATGGATGCAAGATTGTTGTCTGTTTGTCTGTTGTTCTGTCATGTGAATTATGTAGGTCCTAGGGACTTAGATCTGCCAAAGATATCTTCCTTGCCAAAGCTATATGATGTGCAGGCAACTTTGATTCCCAGATTGGCCCCAGAACTGGTTGTGTCACAATGGATGCCTTCACCTGAGATGACCTCACCTCTCCTGGTGGTTGTATCACCTCTGGCCTCTGGCACCTGGAATCCTGAGGGGGTGAAGGGCATGGTTCAACCAGCACGTCTCAACAACATCCTTGATGGTCATAAAATCACCGTGAGAGTGCTTGTAAGAGGTGGGGGTGCTTCACTCACCAATGTATTTCTCAATGATTTGATGAAAGGACTGTCTTCTGGTCCCTATCAGGGGATGATTAGGGAAGTGATGAGCCATACACAATATATCCACACCAAATCCTACTTTCTTGGGTTCCTGCTTCTACATTATGCAAAGGAAATTCAGGCATCTTAACTGTTCCTGCAGGTTTCAGACAGTCAAGGAAGCAAGCAGTTAGATCCACTCCCATTGCTCCAGAAAGTACATTGACCTAGAATCTCTTGGGAGAGATCCTGTTCCTTCCTCCCTGGTTTAACACCCTAAGAATTAATTCCCATATGTATTCCCAAGACTTGTATCAATATAAAAGTCACACTTTTGTTTTTGTTTTGGTGTAACAGTCTCCTCTACTCTGATTTGGCTTTGTACCATGAGGAACAGGGTGCTATCTAGCTCTGGTTTTGTTCTGAAGACAATAAGAAGAGGGGAGTGGGAAAGGGACTAGAATTTCCCTTGCAAAGTGACTTCCTCAGACAAGAACATTATAGATCTTTAAGCAGGTGAGAAACAGCTTTTCCTACAGGGAAAGGAGCTACTTCCTGTGACAAGGGAAGCTCTCTGTAGTGAGTGCTCCATCCCTAAGTCCCCATTCGAAATCTCCCAATTTTCACTCTTTCCAATCAGCCCCCAAATTATCAAAGCGAGACCAGAGGAAGTTGCGAGTCTAGTAGATGTTGTAATTCAAGAAGCCACAGCACCTCCTTTGGGTTTCATTGTGGTTGCAGAAGATAAGATATTCTTTGAGTGTAGTCATTGAAAATCCCTGGTTTTCATTCTATACCTTGAATTGGAATTTAAGCCCCGTCATTCATTTCCTAAGTTTTCAGCCATGGGCATCAACCAATCCATTCCAAAGTTCTTAAATTCACTGTGTCCTTAATTCAGCAGCGACCAGTAGATTTCTAAAGACCTGAACTTCTGTGGCAACTTCATTGTTCTGGGTAACTTTCATGGCACGTGATCATTTGTGCCAGAAACTGTCTAAAACTATTTGAATTTGTATTGTCTGCAGATCCAACCAGATCAGATAATCTCAAATTCTCCCCCATCCCCTGGGATATGTTGCTGTCATCTCTCCTGGCATCAAATTCTTTTTTTCTCAGAATTGTTGATTGTAAGCAACAAAAATAAGTTTTGGCTAATTTTTTTAAACCTTGATTTCTGCCTTCATCTTCACATGATGTTGTGTGTGTGTGTGTGTGTGTGTGTGTGTGTGTGGTCCAAATTTTTTTTTCTTATAAGGAAGTCAGTGATAATTGGATTAGAACCTATCTAATGATTTCATCTCTTTTTCTTATGAAACTTTGGTTCATTTAAGTAGAAAAAGAATGTCTTGAAAGGCTCATTATACAGCTCACAAAATCTTCAAGTCTTCTGAAGGAGTTGAGGTTAAGAAAGAGGAATGAAACCGAAAATAATGCTGCAGAACTGGTTCTATAACAATGTTGCTGCTACCACCACTGACTCCAACTGGTAGTTGCAGCACCAGCTACGCCAATGCTGGACACTGGAAACTGCCTATGTCAGTTAGGAATGAAGACTGTTGTAAGTAACATGGCTAATGACAGGTAAAAGTAAAGAACTACTTTTTTGCACAATTTTCTTAGAAGTCAGATGTTGCAAGCACGGATTCAACTGTCCAAAAAATCTCCCAGGGGCACTGACTGTTTCAAGCTGCTCTATCACCCTCAGCACATTGACTTTGATGCTCCGAGTTGTCTCCCCATGGATGCAAGATAATTGCTTCATCCCTACAT